TTTTTTTTTCTCTATTATCATCCGAATCAGTGATGCTTTTTTGGTATGTGCCTCTTTTTTTGTTTTGTTAAAACTAAAAAAAAATCAGTGAAGAAAAGAAAAAAAAAGAACAGAAAGATAAAAGCTGAAAGTGGTTGTTTGTTTCTGTCATTTTTTCTTTTTGTCTTCTTGTCTTTTCTTCCTTTTATTTTATTTCATTTTTTTTTCGGAGAGACTTGTCATAATCGGTATATAGTTTTTAAATGATTGTAATCAAAAAGCAAAAACAATAATTTATGATTGCTTGAGATGCCCTCCTACACCAGTACTAAGAATTGATCATAGTATATATAAATGTTACACATAGTTATAAAGGAACTGCCATAATGAAACATTGATTGGGTAATGCCAATAACCGGACAACTGGCTGACATTTTTGCAGCAACAGCAATCATAACACGGCTATAGTAAGTAGCAATAATAAACGGCAACGGCTAACAACAGTAGCCGTAGCTGTAGCAGTAATAGCATGAACAGCAAACAACGAGAGCATCGAGAACAACACCAACAACACCAACAACAACCACGGCATCAACCCCTTTCCGCTTCCTCCCCCTTCCCTCTAACAAATAAACCACATATACGCCTTTTTTTTAAACTCATCTGACATTAAGGGTTATTCTTGATATTTCTTCATCATCATCATCATCGTCATCGCCACTACCAGCTTTACTACCACCACCATCACCGATACCACTACCACTGGCATCAGTATCGGCACACCGCCACTACCGCCAACTTCTCCATCATTGTCCTCAGTGGTGCAACCTAGCAGTAAAAAGAAAGACGAAAAAAAACAGCTTATTTTGAAGCTTTTACGCCTAATTTAACAAATTTCTTTGTCTATTTTTTTTTACTTATTGGTTTGCTGGCTATTTTTTCCCGAAGTTTATTTGAGTTTTTTTTTTTTCTGTAAATATATTGTCTGTTTAAAAGAAAACTGTTAAATAGAAAATTAGCATAAAAAGGACAGTTGAACTCAGTAGTTTTTTCATTAGTACACTTTGAAGTACTTGTTTTTTTACCTTTTTTTGATTCTTCTTCTGTGTTTCTTCATTGGTTTCTTTTCTCCTCTCTTCTTCTTCTTTGTTCACATGAATTTTATTAATGCTGAGAGTCTCTTAGAGTTAAAGCAATAAAACGGTTAATTGTTATCCGCAACAACAATCAGAACGGCAACAATAAGGAGAAAATTAAATTTATTTTCAACAGTATATTTGGTTCTTGTGTTTTTCCCTATTCTTGCAAAAATCATCCTCTATTCATTTTCAACATTTTCGTTTGACTTATTCATATGTTTGTTTATTTGCTTGATTCTATAGAATAGCGCTGCAAAATAAAAATGTTGTATAAGACGTATCCAAAAAAAACGACAAAAAACGGGGAGAAAGAGATGGGAGAAAAAAATAAGTGAAAATTTAGAAGACAAAGAAGAAGAAAGAGAATACCAATAGTTCTATCTCTCGTTTTCTCGTTTATTTCTTAGCCTTTTTTTTTATTTTTTCTGCCGATTTGTTGTGTTTTGTTTTCAGTGATGGTAAAAGTTGTGTGTTTGTCGATTATGTGTTTCACATGGTTTCTTTAGGTTTTTTGAAGAAACCACCCCCTCAAAAAAAATATCCACCTATCATCATCGTTGTCACCATTATCATCACCGCCATCAACCTCATCATCATCAACAACATCATCAACATCACTCCTGTAAATAAAATTTATTCTTAGTGCTAGGAAAAAAAAAATCTAATTTTTTAACTTCTCAACAACAACAACAACAACCACTTCTCAATGAATACGCTAAATATATTTTTTCGTCGTCTTATTCCACGAAGAGGCGCAAAAGATGATGAGTATTCGTTTGAGTTACTGAAAAGCACTCCGACAAATGAGCGAAAATTAGGAGGAGGTGGACGGCCACGACAGCTTTCGCGATGTCACACGCAAAACGAGAATATTCATATTACCACCTCCAAATCGGTCTCACCTTAATTTTATTTTAACTTTTTCTTTCTTTTATTTTGGTTTTTTTTTCACCATCTTCTCTATTCTGCTTTATTTTAATTTCTTTTTTTTCTTTACTTTTCTACTACTACTGTTTTATCTCCAGGATTTTACGGCGCTTTTTCCTTGCTTCATCATGCTTCAGTTTTTTTTTGTCTTATCAGTAATCATCAGTTAAGATTCATTAAATAAAATGAACAATCTGATTCACATAATCAGTAAAGAAGTTTAGTTCTTTTTTTAACGATCAAATAATGCATAAGTGGCAATCATTTATATAAGCAATTTTGCAGCAATAACTTAAGTTCGTAAAAATCTTTTAAGTTTTGTG